ATATTAAAAGTATTCTACATAATTTTCTTCAACGGTGGTTTCTTCCAAATAACTTCAACAAAGGTTATGGGCCCAGAGGACCGTTGGTAAAAGAAAATTTGAAGAAAAACCAAATTCTGTAGATATTTGATAGTTCTGTCAACTACTGACTACATACTTACTACTTACAAGTATGACTTCTCATAGTAGTAGTTTTCTTCCCACAATCGATAAGCTGACCGGTGCAAATAACTATAAAAATTGGAAGTTTGCAATGCAGATGTTTTTGAAACACAAAGATATGTGGGAATATGTGGATGGTTCTTTAAATCCAGGTGACAAACATTATGATACCAAGGAAAATGAAAAAGTTATGGCTAAAATATGTTTAATGGTTTCTCCGTCACTGTATGTACATGTTTCCAGTGCCAAAGGTGCTAAAGAAGCCTGGGATAATCTTTCTAAATTATTTGAGCCCAAAGGCTATGTAGGCCGTTTACGATTGCGTCAAAAACTTTTAAAATGTTCCTTAGCTGACTATAAGGACATGTCTTCTTATATTTCGAGTATTATTGAAATAGCACAACAATTATCAGACATTGATGCCACTGTAGCTGATGAAGATTTATCAGCTGTTCTGTTAGGTGGTCTTCCTGAATCCATTGAACCCATGATTATGGCTTTGGACAACAGTAGAATAAAAATCACTAGTAAAATAGTCAAAACTAAGCTATTAGCAGAAGGATATAGACGGGAAGAGAATCAGTCAGAAAATGCTCTAGCAACTAGGACGCCAAATCCTAAACGAAGATTTTTAAATGCACAAAATGTCAAAAATTTGGACACAAAAGAAAAGATTGTTTTCAACTTAAATCAGAAAATGAAAATCAGAAAGTAAATGAAAGCAAATCTACTCTGAATTCGCTGTTAACTACTGAAAGCGATACTGTCTTGGCTGTAAATTCAAACGAATTAAACTGTTGGTTTATAGATTTAGGAGCCACTTCTCATATGACCAATTCGAAAGAATATTTTTCAAGATTTTCTAATATTGAGTCTGAAATTTCATTAGCAAACAAGGAGAAAATAAGATCTCTTGGTGTTGGTGATGTTATAGTTAATGTTGAAGATGGACCGAAAACAGTAAAGAATGTACAGTATGTTCCTAATTTAGCTGCCAACCTTTTGTCTGTGTCAAAATTAGTTGAAAAATATATCATAAAAATGATTGTCCTATTCAAGGTAAAGTTAGAATTACTGGATCCTTAATAAATAACATGTTTAAATTAGATCTAAAGGACCCACTTATAAATACCTCCTTACTGTCTCAAACTAATGCTGTAACTGCTAATATCTGGCATAGACGCCTTGGTCATTTAGGTAACAGAGGTATGAGGCAAATCAAACGGTCAATTTCTAGTTTTGAATTTTTTCAACATATTAAAGACTGTACAGTCTGTGCTCAGGGGAAGCAAACTAGTGCCCCATTTGTCAGAAATCGAAGATCAAACCGACGACGAGCCAAAAATTTTTTAGAGATTGTCCATACAGATGTTTGCGGCCCCATGGAAGAAAAGTCACTTGATGGTTCCAAGTACATGTTAACTTTCACTGACGATTTTTCAAGAAAAATCTTTGTTTATTTTCTGCGATACAAAGATGAAACATTTGACAAATTTATAAAATTTAAATCATTTGTCGAAAAACAGTCAGGAAAGAAAATAAAAACTCTAAGATCAGATGGTGGTGGGGAATATGCAAATAATAAAATGAAAGAATGCCTTGTTGCCAATGGTATTAAACATGAAGTTACAACTCCTTACACCCCTGAACATAATGGTCTGGCCGAACGAGTGAATAGATCCATATGCGAAATTGCAAGATGTATGATGATGGATATGAATTGCGACAAACGTCTATGGGCAGAAGCATGCAATACGGCTGTGTATCTTAAAAACAGAACAGCACATTCCGCTTTGAGAGGTAAGATCCCTGAAGAAGTATGGACTGGAAGGCACGTTAATCTAGACCATTTACGTGTATTTGGATGTAAAGCCATGGTCCATATTCCTAAGCATAAAAGAAAGAAATGGGATGCAAAAAGCGATGAACACACTTTTGTTGGCTATTGTGATGATTCTACTGATAATAACTGTTATCGCTTATTAGATAAAAATCAGATGTTATATTCTTTGAAACAAAACAGCAGCAAGACGAAAAAGAAATTCCAATTTTTCTGCCCATTGGAGAAATTGTAAATAGTTCCCATGAAGAGTTACCTCTTTCTTCTGAAACAATCTCTATCGAAGCTGATGAAGAAATCAATAAGCCAACAACAGAAAATCTTGGCGAAAATACTGAAAGAAGATATCCTGAACGAGTGAGAAAACCAACAGAGTTTTTTACATACCAAATTTCTGAAGAAAATCCACTGATGGATCCTATTAATGTCTCTGATGCTCTCAAGGGACATGATGCTGATAAATGGCATGGTGCCATGGAAGAGGAATATCGTTCTCTTATGCATAATAAGACGAGGAAATTGGTAGAAAAGCCTGAAGGTGCATGTGTTATTCCATACAAATGGGTTTTCAGAATCAAGCAGGATGCCTCTGGTAATGTTAACAAGTACAAGGCTAGACTTGATGCCAAGGGATTTAAGCAAACATATGGTATAAATTATGATGAAACATATGCACCTGTGGTAAGAAAGGAAAGTCTTAGGTTACTATTTGGGATTGCTGCAGAATACCATTTAGATATAGACCAAATGGATGTAAAGACAGCATTCTTAACATAAAGGTTTGTTTGTTGCAAAAGGCTCTTTATGGCCTGAAACAAGCTGCAAGATCATGGAATATTAAAATCCATAAGAAATTAATTGATATAGGTTTCAAACAATCTAACTTTGAGGCTTGTATATATTTTAAAATTGACAAAAATATTTTAATATTCATTGCACTATATGTAGATGATTTATTTATTTTTACAAATAGTTTGTCTGAAAAACAAAAACTAAAAGCTGATCTTAATAGTAGCTTTGAAATGCAAGATTTAGGACAAGCAAAATATTGTTTAGGTATAGAAATTACTAAACAAGGAAACCAAATTTTTTTAAATCAAAGAAAATATATACTTGATTTACTCAAAAAATATAATATGTTAGATGCAAAAATATCACGTACACCTATAGAAAGTAAATTAAATTTAAATAAAGAACAAAATAAAAAGTTACCTCTTATCAGAACTTGATAGGTTCACTAATGTACCTTGCTACCTGTACTCGACCCGATATTTCGTTCGCAGTTAGTTTGCTTAGCCAATATAACTCAAATTTTACTACCGAATTATGGCAACATGCGAAAAGAGTTTTAAGGTACCTAAAGGGAACGATGAATAAATCTCTATTATTTAAACCTTCTGGAAATGTTTTAACTGGTTATATCGATGCAGATTGGGCTGGAAGCGATAAAGATAGGCGTTCATTTAGTGGTTACGTTTTTACATATTCTAATGGAGCAATCTCCTGGAGCAGCCGTAAACAGCGATGTGTGTCACTATCCAGCACAGAAGCGGAATACGTTGCCCTCTCTGAAGGAGCAAAAGAATGCGTTTTTCTCAAAAATGTATTGCAAGAACTTTGTCCCAAAACAAGAAGCGCAATAACCATTTATAATGATAACCAAAGTGCTATCTGTATTTCAGAAAATGAAACTAGTCATAACCGGACTAAACACATAGACGTACGTTATCACTTTATACGCTCTTGTGTTTCTGACAAACTTATTAATTTAAAATATATGCCTACAAATGAGATGCCTGCTGATGTATTGACGAAAGGATTACCTCTCATAAAGCATGAAAATTGTATTAGGTATATTGGATTAGTTTAAGTATTTTATTTCTTTATGAATTAAGGGGAAGTGTTATGGGTCCTACCTGTATATATATAATTTATAAAGAAATAACCATAGAAATAAGAAATGTTGAATGTCATGTAATGATTTACAAAAAGTTGTCACTGTACGAAATAAAAATATTAAAAGTATTCTACATAATTTTCTTCAACGGTGGTTTCTTCCAAATAACTTCAACATTTTGTACATATCAAAATTGGCTAAAAATGCAAAAAACCTATGCCTAAAGTTACTTATTTTTTACCCATATACCAATTTTCAACATTTTTTATTTTTTCTACCAATTCATTTTAAGGTTACTAGAATTTACGCATAAATTAATCTGTTTAAATGTTTTTTTGTTATAAAATGTTTTATACAACTAAACTCCAGTAACCTAAAACGGAATTGGTGGAAAATAAAAACTTGACACGGGCTATGTATGGGTAAAAAATTATAAAATAAGCAACTTTTGGTTAAACAATTTTTCGAAATTGCCATTTTTGCAATTTTTAGGAAAAAATGTCATTTTAGACATTCAAAAAGGTCACGTGTATGCTCATTTGCATGTCATTCGTTATCATTTTTAAGGCAATAGAAGATGGCAAAGTCAAAATTTATCTACGGCATTTACAAAAAAGCCTATACGATGTGCATTTTATGTGGGTCACTGTATTATATACCTCAGTATAATGCACTTTTCTAGATCGTTAATTCAAACCTAGGCACGCCACTGTGACCATTTTAGTACTCATTGTAGAGATGCGTGAATTCGATACAGCAGCCCAACTTTTCGACCGCGATCCTGTATCTCAGATAGGCGTATCTGGCATACAGTATCCCCGTGTGAAATAGCTCTAAGTAAGCTGTTATGTCGTCCTACTGGTTCACATTTATCAATTGTTCAATTTTTTGGAACCCTTTGAATGCAGTCAAATTTTATTTCTCAAGAATACAATCACTTCTTATAGCAGTACGTCCATTTTCCCATTATTTCTATTAAAATTTCCGGTCGTTCGACGAAGAAGAGGGCTATGGCGATGCTCTTAGGACGGTTTAGCTTTTTTGAATCACTTTATGTTCTTGATTATCAACTGCACTAACAAGGCGGCTTTGAGGTTGTTTTCAACTGATCATAGGTCTCTTTGGATTCAACCGAGTAATGTCCTTATCTGATCTTTTCCGACCCTTCCATGGAGACAGCGGTGTTCTATGTTTAGAATGAGAGGACCCTTTTTCTTTTTCTTTTTCTTTTGAAAACGATTCACTGAAATCGGAATTTAATTTGTTCCTTCTGCTCACAGTAAGAGTATTCGTAACACTTTTACTGACACACTGCACAATATTTTCAGAAATTTATTTTATTTATTTTCATTTACCCAACACTTGAATTTTAAACTACCTCCTAATTAATTACTAAAGCTATATATAAAGTGAAAAGAATCCAATTTCTAATTTTTCTTTATTTCAAAAATTTAATAAAAATAGAGATCAAGAAACAGCACAAAAATGCTGAAGATGTAGACTGTTTTCTAGCGATACGATGGATGCGATAATCAGAATGATACCTTCCCTTAAAAATTTGTTGCATGTCTTGTTTCTCGTTCGTCTTGATTGTGACATTATAGACCAGGGCTGAAAATGGTAAAAAGTGAAAAAAAAAAATAATAGAATGAAACCCATTGGAAAAGAAATAGAAAATAACAAAAATAAAAGGAAAAATAATTTATGGGCGATCTGAGGTCGGAAAGTGGAAAGGGGTGAGTTTTTAAAGGTAAAAATCAATTTATCTCGATTTCCGGCAATACTACAAATCCTATGGAAAAAGTTAAGTGACAAAGTTGTAGGTAATAAAAAATCTACAACTTTTGTATTCACACTTTCTTCACATAACCTCAAAATTTATGTAAAAAATTTAAATAATCAAGTTTTTGGATTTTTATTTATATCTTACAAAAATACACTGTAATTTTTTTGATTTAAAATATTTATTTTGTCACCTTATTTTGACTTAATATCGACAAAGCACCCTAATTTTCAATTCTCCCATCAAAATATCTGCTTTTTTAAAAATCGGTGGATCTTTTGTTCGTTGAAATCTCCACTTTCTGATGTGGGAAAATAATTTATGCATTACTATGGTAAATCTTCTCAGAAAATGCTAAGAAACGAAAAAATCTCGAATTCGAAAAATTTTTTTTAACAGTTTTTAGCTATATATTAAAGTTTACACTTTAATTACTCGAAAACCGTAAGATTTCATGTTACATTGATTAACAAAAAAATTACAAATCCATAAAACAAAGATTACAAAAAAAATGCGAAAATAGTTGATCTATATATTAAAGATAAGATTTAAAGGGGATTTCATCTAAAAAATGTGACTGCTGCAATTTTTTTCAGTAAAAAAGTTGCTTATTAAATTCTAATTACATTTATGTCATATAAAATCTCATCATGTATAAATATACATGTAAATCGTACTATTGAATTTAGATACTTTATACTGATTACGTTATTCATTATAATGTTTTTAAATACATTATTCTTGTTATTTATAAATATCTTATCTTGGATTCTAATCACTTATCCATTAGTTTTTGTCTCTTTGATGGCATTTCTTAATCGTAAGACTTGACAAACCTTCCTGATTCTAGTAGATCTTCGAAATCTTCAAGACCATCACCGTCTTTGTCTCCAATATTATTTCCAGTCTGCCTTTGTTCTTCATCCACAATTTCATCTGAAATATTAACTTCCTCGTAGGTTTTTTCTTCCACATTAGAGCATTTTCAGAACCATGACAATTTGAGTATACATTTGTGCATTTTAAACCATATTTTCGGCAGCCACATTTTAAACTGTTACATTCAGTTTCACAGCTGCAGCAGATAGTTTTGAGCAATATTTCTGTAATTAATTCCTTTTCAGTAAATTTGATTATAGTGCCACGTTGATGTTGCTTCCAGCCTCAATCAGTTGCTGTCAGTTCGTTACCCACCCAAGTTTGAAGCTGATAATATGCCCTGTAACAATGTTGTTCTACTGCACCTTCTGTGGGTGGGAGATTTGCCAATATGAAAGATGATTTAATTTTTGCCAATTGATATTTTCGAAATCCTAATTGATTTAGTGTTATATTATCATTTTTACATTTATAAATAGATTTGATTAATTGTAATTCATTTTTTTCGATATCTTCTTTATTTGTATCTTTTGTATAAAAAATATTGGCCAAAATGGACAAATTTTTTATCGTCTAATAAAGATTTTACGATACTTTTCTTAAAATAGCTGTAAATAGGCATCTACGCATATAATTTAGAGAGGTTCTACAACTTTCTCAAAATATTGTAGATGTCTTATTTAATATTAACTTTATTAACTTATTTGGTTGTTAATTATGGTAGTATATTTCGATTTGCAATTTTTTTTTATTAATTTATTAATGTAACATGAAATCTTACGTTTTTCGAGTAATTAAATTGTAAATTTTAATAAATAACTCAAACTTGTACATAATGAATAAAAAAAAATCGGATTCGAGTTTTTTCGTTTCTCTGCATTTTCTGAGAACATTTACCGTAATAAAGTAAACATTTTTTTTACACCACCAGAAAGTAGAGATTTCAGCGTATAAAAAGCCCACAGAATTTTTTAAAAAAGCAGATATTTTGACGGGAGAATTTTCAATTGAAAATTAGGGTGCTTTTCGATTTTAAGTCAAAATATGCTAAAAAAATTAATATTTTAAATCAAAAAAATTACAGTGTGATTCGAACATAAAAAGGTAAGTTTTCACCAAATTTCGTGGATTTTTTTTTATGAAAGATAAAAATAACTAACTAAAAACTTGGTTATTTCATTTTTTCACATAAATTGTGGGGTTATGTGAAGAAAGTAAAAATACAAAAGTTGTAGATCTTTTTAATACCTACAACTTTGCTATTTAACTTTTTTCCATAGGACTTGCAGTTTTGCCGGAATTCGAGATAAACCGTTTTTACCCTTTAAACTTACTTCCCGACCTCAGATCGCCCGTAAATTTTTTTTATTATATTTTTTCCTTTTTCAATGGGTTTCATTCTACTATTATTGTTTTTGGTTTAAAAAATTATCGACCATGGTCTATTACAAGCACATATACCCTTGAATAGTGAACTTTCTTGCAAATTTATGTTAATAACATACTATTGACATGTATTTAGTCATTGATACGAATAGTCAATGTCAATGTCTTTATTGTCAAATTTAAATAAATTTAATAACGTATACAATAGAATGAAGAATTATTCTAAATATTTATTTACTAATCTTTCTCAAAATTACTTACCAATTTTCTTAAAATTTGATTATGATTAGTTAAACAAAAATTTAACAGGCTCAAAAAATAGTGGGCCTTAATGTTTTATCTAAAAGTAGTTTACAATATACCTACTTAATAATAACATCAACTACAATATAAACATCTGCTAAAATAGAGTTACTTTCTATAGTATCAATATTGTTCCCTAGTCCTGGTGTTGAAATATGACCCAGATAGGTATGACTCATATAAGTACATGGTGTTATATTATGTTAAAGGATCAAACTCGTTCCTGGCTCATGAGTATTATTTCTTCGGTATCGATATCTTGGCGCCTGTTATTATATTTCTCGTTTCCTATTATAGAAACCTTCGAATATTCATAAACAGACGATGGCATTCAAAATGAGTAACAGTTATGGCGTACCGACATAGTAATATGTAAATGAATGGCGCTAGTCTGAAAAGGAATTTTGCAATACAGGGCGACACTCGAAATAAAATCATTATGACATAGATGAGGGAAAAAAGTTGGCATCGGATCAAGTTGAATTGCAATATAAATTTTGTATTTGAAATAAAAAACTACGTATTTATTTTAAATTTAACAAATAGAAAGTCTTCAAAAATACCTGTATCTCCCGTGTCCAAATTGACATATTACCAATCGATTATAAATAATTAGTATCATTTATATATGTGTGACAGTGTTGTAGATATTTTAATACAAAATATTTTTTTATGGATTGTGTCTATAAGAACAAAATACACTTAACTGTAGGCTTATTAATTATTAACTTATTATTATTATTATTAATATTAATTAAAGTTTTCTTTGTCAACCATTAAAGCTATTAAAAAAAAAAAGAAAATTTCATCGACGCTGGAAAAAGTTTAATAATGACATGGACTATTTGACATTAAAAATTTTACGTGGTAGGTCAAAATTTTTGATAAACAAGGATTATAAAGAATATTTAAATCGGGTTGAATCTTATATTACTGAAAATCCTAAGTATTTTTTTTTAATGAAAAAAATGCTTAATTTTTCTATTTTTAACATACTGATGTTAAAAACAAAAAAATATTTTCCACATTTTACCCGATAATCTCGTAACCGATACAGATCCAATTACAGAGCCACAGGAAATCTGTAACGCCTTTTCTGATTTCTTTTCGTCTGTTTTTGTGCCACGTGGTCCTAGTGATTTTTTCATCAGAGCTCTTCTGAATATTACCCAATATAAAATATCTCGTGAAATAATTTCATTAAAAATAGAAAATTTGCCTGATAGAGGTCCTGATCCAGACGAGATTCCTACATGCTTTATTAAAAAGTGTACTAATTCTCTCATTGACCCTTTATATTTCTTATTTAATAAATCTTTAACCGAAGGACAGTTTCCTGATAAATGGAAAACGGCTTTCGTTGTGCCAATCCACAAATCAGGAAATAGAAATAAGGTGAATAATTTTAGACCAAAACTTAAACTATTAAGTAAACTATTTAAAAGTTTAATTTTCGATTTTCTATTTTGTAATGTCAAGAATATTCTTAACATTGAACAACATGGTTTTATTAAAAAACGAATGGCCGAAACTAATTTATTTGTTTATGTTGAATACATTTTGAAAAGTTTAAATGACAAAATATTAGTAGATTCTGTGAATACCGACTTCAGTAAGTCTTTGATAAAATTGACTATTCTATCCTAATATTGAGGCTCGCTGAGGTAGGCATACACGGAAATCTGAAAGGATGGTTTGACTCTTATATAAGAAATAGGTCTCAACAGGTAGCATTGGGAAAATACAAATCTATATTTATCATTCCTACATCAGGAGTACTACAAGGATCTCATCTTGCGCCGTTACTCTTTAACCTTTATATCAATAATATATGTAACTGCTTTATATTCGCGAAATTTATCATGTACGCTGACGATCTAAAAATGTATCATTCTGTAACTTGCTTACTTGATAGGATTTTATTTCAGCAAGATCTAGATAGATTTTGCGATTATTGTAGAAAGCATAATTTGTTTTTGAATGCATCTAAGTGTAGTTATATACAGTTTACTCGAAGTAACACTTATTGACATAACAGTTACATCATTAATGAATCTACACTTCAACCAGTGGATAAAGTAAAGGACTTGGGTATATTTCTCGACTCCAATTTATTGTTTGATGAGCATATATATTATATCACTAGTAAAGCAAATAAAGCATTAGGCTTTATTTTAAGAACAAGTTACGAATTTAAAAATCCTCTTACAATCAGAGCTTACGTTAATAGTGTACTCATGTTTGGATCAATAATTTGGAATCCTTTTTACTTAGTATATATAGATAAGTTACAATCTGTTCAGAATAAATTTATTTCTTATTGCCATAAAAAATGTTATCCTCAAATAAGAGAAAACAAAATTTTATCGAATTTAAATTTAATCAATCTTGAATCACGAAGACACATTTCCGATATAATATTTATGCACAGAATACTTAATCGTCAAATAGACTGCATTGATATAATTAATCTCTTTCAATTATAATACTAGAAATAATCATACATTTTTTCTTAACAAGGTAGCAACCAACTACTATTTAAATGCTCCTCTCCATAGATTATTAAAAACTTGTAATCAGTTGTCAAATATAGTTAACGTAAATATTTTCTTTTATAGTTTTATGTTCGTCAAGAAAGCACTGTTAAAATATTTTCTAAATCAGATTATGTAATCTCTTTTGTTGATAGTTTTTATTTTTGAGTAGGTAATATTGTAAATGATATGATTATTGTATAATTTAATATGTAATCTCTCTTGTTGATAGTTTTTATTCTTTATTTTTGAGTAGGTATTATTGTAAATGATATGATTATTGTATAATTTTGTACTATATTATTGTATAATCTGGTGGACACTTTTTTGGGCTAGTCCTATCTGTGTCCCGAATAAAAAAAAAGTTGCTTTACATTAATGTTTATTTTAGATTTTTGAATTCGATGCCTACCTTTACAAACTATTAGTTCGAGAGCTGGCAATAAAAACAACTATTTCATAAGTTATCAAAGGTTTAAATTTACATGTCGGTATTACTTTAGGTTGTAATTTTAAAACCGCTCGTCCACCGGGCGTAAGTGGTCGCTTTATTATATTTTAAAAAAGTTTAAAAAATTTAAAATCGCTCCTAACTACCCAATTACTACCAACATAAATGCTTGGTGAAAATTACCTAAAATTCTAACTAACCTGAAATCGTAGGCCTCTTCCACTGAAAATGGTCGCTATTTCGGAGCAGACGCTATCAGCTATGTCAGCAAAACGCCATTAACATCCTCATAGATTATCATCGTTATTTTTGTGACAAAATATTACTAAATATATTACTAATTAGAGTTTAAAAAGAAAACTTTGGCAGATGGTCGCATTTAA